TCATGGGTAGAAAATCTGAAAATAAAGGAACTTTTTGAATTTATTCATCCTTTAATTAAATTACCTCTACGAAAACATCTAAGTGGCCGAATTTTGGCAAAATCTGCACAAAAAATAACTAAAACAACTAAAAAAATAGCACAAAATGATAAAAATGGAGTTATTTTAGCATATAATAGCTGGAAAAATATTAAAAAGGAATCAATCTTTGGAAGCATTTTAGTTACCTCAATAGGCAAAATTCTTGTTTGGAATGCAGAAGATATATCAGATGAACGAACAAAATGGTCTGATATACAGCGTCGAACTGAAAATATGCTTAGTGATCTAAAGAATGAAAAAATTCAAGTTAATGCTATTGTAAAAGATTCTGCATCTGAATATAAAGTGGCTAGGTAATATAATAAATAAATATAATTTATATTTTATTTATTTAATATAGTATTTATATTATTAATTAAATTTAGAAAATGTTTATAGCGACTATATCCTGAGGTTGTATTTATCCTGTGCTTTGTACACCAAATGAATTTATGTGTTGGAGATATTTTCAAAAACTCAAATTTATTTTTAGCTGTTGCTGAACAAGCTATTCAACTTGTATCCTTTTTTCATCAATCAATTTTTTTTTTGGGGTGCCTTCGTTCTGAGCAAGCAGTATTATATTTCTTTTGTATCTTCAAATTCTACTTGCTAGAATAGCCATTATTTATGCTTTGCAAGTATTATTAAATCTCGTGCTGCACTTAAAAATTTAGCTACAAAAATTGAAGAAGAAACTGATAATTATCTTAAAGATTTTCCTAGAAATATACTTTTTAATATTTCAAATAATGAATAGTGGAAAAGTCTTATGCAACTAAAGGTTCTTCTTGAGCCATATATGGCATTATTAAATAAGCTTCAACAGGATAAAGACCATCTTACTGAAGTTCTACATAGTTTTGGATGGGTGTGCCAAGTGATTAAAGATATTCCAGATAAAGAGCTTAAAGAATATTTAATGACAAAATTAGAAAAACGATAGTTAGCTTGGGAGCAACTATTATTACTCCTATTATTTTTATTATATCCAAATTACCATATTACCCATTTTAATCAAAGTATTGCTGATTTTTCTTTCACATATATGGGTTGATAGGTTATACATTATTATAAATCTTGGTTTGGCAAAACAACCATATTCTATTTTATGCAAATTGCAATTATATGAAAATGAAGAATATCCATTTAATAGAGAAACTTTCAATTAATTTGATAGTGATGTACTATGATATTGGGATTTTTGTAAAGGAATTGCTATAGAGCTACATCTTGTAGCAATCCGTATTTTTTTAATTTGTATAACCACAGCATCAGTAGAATGATTATTCTCTGCTATGAGATAGTATTATTCCTTAAGACATAATCGACTTAAGGCAAACCTACTTTATACTTTATAATTATTTGGGCAGCTACCAATAGAAATCAAGCAAGTCTATATTTAAAAAAAATCAAAGCCTTAACATTCACAGCTCATATCTCGATGAATTTTAAAGCTATTTTGATAGTTTAAAATTCAAACAAAAGCTTAGATCATAAGCTTTCTTTTGAATATTAAATCATCAAGATAGCTTTAAAATTCATCGAGATATGAGCTATGAACGTTAAGGCTTTGATTTTTATTCAAATGTTGATTTGCTTGATTTTTATTGACAGCTGCCTATTTATTTACTAATAGTTTTATTTTTTTTTTGTTATTTATATATAGTTATTTATATTTATTAATTAGATATTAATTTGTACTTGTCTATTTATAATATAATAGCATAAAAAAGTACTTGCTATATGCCAACTAAGATCAGAGCTTCTACGTTTAAGAAATATTACTGCCATTGACAAGTTACTAAAAACATACAAGCAAAAGATCGGTATTCCACCTAAAAATAATGAACAAATAAGCCTTGAAGATGATAAAGAGGAATTATTAGACAATAATATTGATAATGATATAGATAATATAGAAGGACAAAGTCAAATGAACATTAAACAACCAGAAATAGTTAGGTGTGTAAGTGACTGGAAAATAATTGTAGAGCAATGAGTTAACCTGGCTGAAGAGGAGGAAGGTAATTATATGCAATATAATTCATTTAGCTTAGATGAGTATGAAGAAGAAGTAATGCTTCAAGATGATATCCACCCCACAGATAATTTAGCAGCCAAATGGAAATTGGCAGACATTTTTGCTAATTCATTAGCTCAACCCACTTCTATTAATCTACTTTTGGGAGATTAATAGCATGATTAATACTCAAAATAATTAAAAAAAAGTAAAGTTAAATAGTATATATCTAAATATATATATTATAAATTGATAAAATAAAAAGCGGGTAATTTATTTTTTGTTTATACAATTGATTGATTTTATTTTTTAATAAAATTTTATTTAATTTGATATCGGTTTTTATGCCTAAGAGATTTAATTAAGCATCATGTCAAGATATTGATACATATTTTAAATAAGATAACATAAGTTGTATAGCCGAAAATAAGTTTTTTTTTAATGCATTATAATACTATTATTAAGTTGATTACCTGAGCCAATCAAATTTCGAGAACTTAAGTTACATGAACTATGTTTTAGATATGGACTAAGTGCCTATGTCCATTCGAAATATGGACATAGTCCATATTTGTTCATGTCTATTGGTCCATATTGTCCATGTCCATATTCGGCCAACACTGGATCTGATTAAGTTCGGTATAATAGATTCATATACAGTATATATGTAATTAAGATCAGGTACTAATATAAATATTATTGAATATTTTATCTCTGGTAGAATATAGAAAATCTTTGCTAGAAAATATTTAAAAAAAAAATTTTTTAAAAGGCATATCATTTGAAAAATTACCAAATACTTAGGTTTAGTATATCATTTATAAGTTGGATTTTTAAATATTTTCAAAAATATGGATGTATTGAAAAGCTTCTATCACTTTCAGAACTATGTTTACTGAATATGAATGATGCAAAATATTTTTGAAAAAAAATATGAATTACTCTGGTTAGATATTATGAAAATTTGAAGAGCTACAAACCAAACTATATATACAAATAAAAATAATACTTATTTATATACAAAATATTCTAACATGTACTTCGTGCTATATGTTTATTATAAAAGTTTAATTAATATATGGTGCATTTTTTGTATTTAATGTTAAGACTTAATTGACACATTATAATGTTGGATAAGCATTCGAATGAAAGTTTAATAATGTTGACATTATTGTTAAAACAGTCTGTAAAACAGTCATTATGAAGCAAAAGTAGTTTTTATTATATGAATTGTGCCAAAATTACAAACTTAATCGAATTGGCTAAAAAATTATTTGGCCAATTTTTATCAGGTATTCTAGAAATTATGAAAATAGCTATAAAAATTTTATAGCTATTTTTATAATTCTTGAAACACTTGATAAAAATTGGCTAAATGATTTTTTAGCCAATTTGATTAAGTTTGTAGTTTCGACATAATTCATATAATAAAACCTATTTCTGTATTATAATAGTTTTACAGAAGATCTGATCAACTTACCGACAATTACTCCGTAAACACTACATTTCATTAACAACTACTTACCAACAAGTTCATTTCACTGACAGTTTATTTTACTAAAGCTTATTTTGCAGACGAAGTAATTCTGGTCAATATTATTAAAGTTAGGTTAGAATTAGAGCTAAAGTTAGGTTAAAATTAGAGCTAAAATTAGTATAATTTATAAAAAAAACTTGTCAGTGAAATGAGAATCGGTGAAATAGACTGTTGGTAAAATAAACTCATCAATGAATAATTTTTGGTGAAACGTGGTGTCTATGAAGTGATTGTTAGGAAAATAAGTAATAGTTATATCCTGGGCAGTTGGGTATAACTGATTTATACCCTGTGATCTTGATATAGTAACCAGGGTATAATGTAAGTAATAATGACCTATTACTTATCTTTTACTTAATATTAAATAGTATTAAGTATTTATTACATTTCACTACTTATTATGTGTAAATTTAATTTCATGATAATAGTTGGAAGTGAGTAATCATAACTGAGGTTAAGAGTAAATTTGATACTAAAAATAGAACTATTATAAAATTATTTATTATTACTTATATGCAAAAAAATCAAAAATATTAAATAATATCTGGTAAAAATACATATTAATTTTGCCCATCCCTACTTTACAGACAGCTTAGTTTACTGACAATTAATTCACAAACAAGTTTATTGCACTGCCAATTATTTTACTAACAGCTCATTTTACCAACAAGTATTTTTTATAAATTATACTAATCTTAACTTTAATTATAACCTGATACTAACAACAATAACCAGAATTACTTTGTTAGTAAAATGTTGTTGGTGAAATAATTGTTGGTGAAATAAACTTGTTTGTGAATTAATTGTCAGTGTACTAAGCTATCAGTAAAATGATTGTTGGTGAAATGCATATCACCATATTACCAATATCACCAGTTTTACTAGTTTTACCAACATTACCAGTTTCACTAATATCATCAAATCACCAATTCAACCTTTGAGTTGTACCAAGTTTCACCAGTTTCACCAGTTTCAATTAATGAAACTAATTAGCTTCACCAACAACTCTAATCTTAATATCAGAAGCAAATTATGGTTAGAATAATATTATTTATATAACTATTTATTTAAATAAAATAATAAATTTGCTTATTCAGTAAGTTTGTTTATTCAAACCAATACTGTAAATTTTAGCTTCAGATATTTAACAATATTTATTTTTCTCGAATATTCACCAAATATGAATATTATTTGAATAATTAAATGAATATGATAATTCAACTAATATTACCAACAGAGCTAGGAATCTCTATAATACAACAATATTTGAATACTACTACTGTAAATTCTTGAAATAGCAGACAGGGGCATTATTTTAAAAATCACATCTTATAAAAATAGTACTGAAATAGCATGCATTTTGAAGAGAAAGTATTAGGTAAATATCAGAATACAATACTCTCTGATATACAACTGATTTTAGTATGTTGGTAGCATATTAAAAGTCTTTTATCTAATATTTATCTAATACTTACTGTATTTATTTGATTTGTTTATAACATTAGTAACCAAAATTAATACTTATCTCAAAATAACACCTATAAGTGTATTAAACAGAACCTTAGTCTTTTTATAAATTTTTGTTAGAAATAATGCTAAAACAAAATGATGCTGAAATATAGGAGTTTTGATTTAGAAATATAAGCTTTACTAAAATCTACCTATACATTTTTATTATAAATACTAACCCTAAACCCTAACTTAATTACAAAAAAAAAGCTAAAAACATTACCCAAAAATTTTAAAATTTAATATTAAAATAAATCAGTTTTTTAGTATTATCTTGTTTCAGTATCATCTTTAACAATATATATTCTATAAGCAATATTACTCAAATTGCTACTAATTCTATATGTGTTAATGAGAGCCAAAATTAGAGATAGTAAAAAAATATTTTAACAGTTTTTTATATATATATATATATATATATTTATTTTTTTTTTGAAATTTGATAGTCATGTCACATGCCTACTTTATTGATAAGGTACTACAATTCTCGAAAGATTTGTCCGAATTACATTATACCTTATGGCAAAAAATCTGAAATGTGGCTTACCCGGTTTCCAATTAGACCTATGTGTGACCTGCCAAAGATGAATTCAATCTCCTGGTTAGGTTCGGCTTACTTCTCTTTAACCAACCCATCCCCGGATTACTGACCTGGTTCACCAGCCCATCATGACTGCCTTTTTTCAAAACCTTCTTCTTTTAGCCTCCTAGATAGAAGAACTACCAACAAAAAACAAAAAAAAAACAAATATGAAATAAAAGAAAAACTAAAAAAGAGAGAAAGTCTAAACTAAACAAAACTAAAAAAAAACAAACAAAATA